TGTAATTAACACGATCAAATTACAAAATTGGAGAGTCACATCAAACTTTCACACATCAAATTTTATTATATGTGTAGATCCAAAAACTCACAACCAAGAATTTGATATTAACGAAATAAAATTAAGGCTTAAATAATTGTATGAATCTTAGATAAATAAAGATTGAAAATAACGAGATGGATTTTTATTAATATAATTGTAGTATTTAGTTCTAGGTGATTTTCTAAGGTAAAAATGATTGTGATTGGACTTGGCCTCGAACAAGACTCCTTCTCTCTTTATATAGGTGGTCAATCAAGTTCAACCGCTCCTATATTCGCATAGCACGTTCTCCTCACGATCCCGGATTTTCAGCATGCGCTTCGAGATCTCCGGCTTGACTGGTTCAACCTGTTATCTGCGAGCTCTTCTTCAGCGTGCAGCTCGCAAGTAATTCTGTTAGCTGTTTCATTCAGCCCAATCGCATGGTTCATAGACTGGACTTTTAGCTGGGCATATTGGACTTTATGGTAGTGGGCTTAATACGAGCCCATCACTACATTCCACAGGCTTCATCCCTACTATCCATCGGACCTCGTCCGGTGGGCCGCTTACTACTAATGGACCTCTTTCGAGCTGTATTTGGGGTGCGAAATACAACACCAACAATATGTATTGAAATTTTTTTGAGAAATTTTTAGATATGCCACTTTTCATAATGTCATTTTGCAAAACTCCGACATTTTATAAATTTTTGCAAGCGTGTTATTTTTTCTTTTCAGTATTCTCAGATTTTTTTTTGATTAATTTAACCTAATTTTTTCAGATTTTGTGGTGGATTTGATAAAAAACATAGATGTGAGTTTTTCTTCTCTCTCTCAACCAGATTTCATCTCTCTCTCTCCTATGAGCCAGATCTCGTTGTCGTGAGATCGGATCTAATTATCTCTGATTTCATCGTTGTTGTTGAATAAAAACATGGATCTGAGATAAGTTTTAAAAAAATGGATCTAATGGATTTAAGTAGAAGAAGAAGAATCTTAACACAGAAAACACAGACGCAGACACCAAACACATATAAAT